GATCCGTCAGGATGGCATCAAAGCCGCTTTGGTTGAGGAACCTCAGGGTCTCCTGGCTGTGGAACAGGTCCTTGCACTGCCCAAAGAAAGTGCTGTAAGTATGGACTGAGGCGTTGTACATGGCCAGGGCATTGAGGGGGAAAGGCTTCGGTGTCAGGTGCACGGTGAGGCATTCCTGGAAGGAGTTATCCAGCTCTTCCAGGGTCTGGCTCACCGGGTACGTGACCACCTTGTAGGCCTGCGTGGTCTCCATTTGCCAGCTCACCTCAGGAACCAGCACCACCACCTCGTGTCCTCTCTCGCTCAGCTTCTCCACCACTTCCCGCATGCTCAGCCAGTGGCTTCCCACCATGGGCACCACCAGGAGCTTCCCTCCATCAGAGAGGCCAGGAAGGAGGAGGAGGATGGAAATCCAGGCACAGCAAAGCCTCAAAGCCATGTTGCAGTGGTGCAGTAGGGGCCGTAGAAAAGATTTCTCCTGCAGGCTGTAGCCTGAAGATTCTTTGGAAAGCAACTGATGGCCGGAGTTGTTGAGCTCTGCTCTTTGATTGTCCTGTTGTTAATCATTCACTGCTTTGCATTGTGGGTAGTTTATTTTGCCTTTTCCCCTCCTTACTTGGAAAGCCAAGATTTGGTGACCTCTTCAATGCTGAGTCACTGGAATTCATCAAAGTTCCATGAGCTCCTCAACGTGCTACAGGGATCCCTCAGGACTCCTCACCTTTGTTGTGCCTTGTGTCCCACCTTGGCCAGGACCCAGGGAGCAACATTGGTGTGAGCAACTCCCAAACCCACAGGAACAAATGAAAAAGAGCCTCTCCCAGTTGGACACACAGATCCTCAGGTGATTCCTCCAGGGATGGAGCACGAGACCCTCAGGAGAAGGCTCAGGGCTCTTCTGAGCTGGCAGGAATCTCCTCAGTGCCAGGGACACCTCTAAGAGGTGCTGACAGGGGCTGGCCTCTCTCTGTACAGACCAAGCTCTCACTTTACAGAGTCGTTTCCCAGCCTGGCAGGTGGCCCCTGGCTGGCTGGAAACTCCTCCCCACCAGGATTCAAACCAGCACTAAATGAGTTTTAGCAACCTCTGGAAGCTCAGGTTTCAGACCTGACTCAGCAAAGGAGCAGCTTCAGCACAAACGTGATTTCCCCGGCCTCACAGCAATGTAACTGATGGCAAAATTAAAAATGTTGCACCCCTGGATATTCAGAGGCACACAGCCTCCATGCCTCAGGCACACAAGTTCTCTCCTCTCCCTTCATGCCATGGTCAATGCACCACAATGTACTGCATATTGTTTTCCGCATACCAGCATTATTTATTTGTTTTTCCTCTTTTACCCATGTCTTTCATTATTTCTACTGGGAAGGTGGCAGAGAGCAGTTTTATGTCAGGATGGCTTTCCAGAAAACCAAATTTTTTAGTGTCAGAGTAGGGGGAGAGAAGCTCTGAGGTAAAAGAAACTGAAATACTCTCTGAATCTTCTACTATGAAACGCAAAGGAAAAACATCATAGCAACAAGTACTAAATATGGTCAGAATTTTCTAAAGCACACTCAGAACTGGGCATTGGGAAGCTGATGAGTTTAGAAAAGACAACTTTCGCACAAAGAAACGTTGATTTCTGTATTTTGTGACAGCAACCAACTGTTTGCTGAAGCGGGATTAGGAGAGGGCTGGCAGGGAAATGTCCTGCCCTCCCCTCCCTCCTGCTGCAGGATGGATTTTCCATCCAAACCTTCAGCATGAGGTGTGGGTGCAAAGGCAATCCCAGGACTGCTGAAGTTAATCAGTACCTCAGTGTTTGTGAACTGGTCAGAGGCTCACTCTGTTGGCCTGGTTATCCCAGGTTATCCCACCCAGGAATTCTGGAATTTGCTGGGTTCAAGGCAGTACAAGATCAAAGTCGCTTCCTGCTGACACCTGAGCAAAGGGACAGGGGAAAGGCTGGATTTGGGTGAAAAGGCACAAATTTGGGGGCAGCCCTGTCCAGGGAGGAGTAACAGAGCTGGGGAAGGGATTAAAAACTCTCCTGAGCTGAGGGAACTGGGGGTGTTTATGGAGAAAAGGAGGCTCAGGGAGGACCTTGTCATGCTCTACGTGTCCCTGACAGGAGCGAGAGTGGGATCGGTGTGTCTTGCTGTGTCCAAAGGGAAAGATGAGAGGAGATGGCCTCAAGTTGTGCCAGGGGAGCTTCAAAGTGGGTATTAGGGAAAAAAAACTCACTGGAGGAATGGTGAAGCAATGGAATAATTTGACCAGGGAGGTGGTGGAGTCGCCATCTCTCAAGTGTCCTGGAGGAGCCTGGATGTGGCACTTGGGGTCGTGGCTTAGGGGTGACCATGGCAGTGCTGGTGTGAGGCTGGGACTGGGTGATCCTGGAGGTTTTTTCCAAGCTGGATGATTCTGTCAGCAGCAGGCTGGCCCATGCCAGGCTCAGGAATGATTAGGGAATACTCAGGAGGGAATTCTTAGGGTAGCTACAACACACCAGCAAAGGCTGGAATAAATCCATGACTGGCGATCCCAAACTACCTCTTATAAATCCATGACAAGAGATCCCCAAGCCCCTTTAATAAACACATGGCAGGAGATGTCCAATCCCTCTAATCAATCCAGTCTGAGATGCCAAAACTGCTATAATAAATTTACGAAAGGAGATCCCAAATCATTCTAATAAATTCATGACAGTAGATACCTAAGCCCCTCTAATGAACCCATGGCAGGCGATCGCCAAACCTCTGTCATAAATCCATGATTGGAGATCCCAAAATCCTTTATTAAACTCATGGTAGGAGATCCCAAACCCTCCTACTATATCCATGAAAATAGAACCCCAAACCGTTCTAACAAATGCAGAAAGAGATCACCAAACCCCTCTAAGAAACCCATCAAAAGAGAGCCCCAAACATCTCTAATAAATCCATGCCAGGAGATCCCAAAACCTTTCCAATACAACCATGGCAGGATATTCTAAATGCCTGTAATAAATGCACGACAGAAAACAAGAGTTTGAAAGAGGGAGCTGGTCTTTGTAGAAAGCCAGGATGGTTTGTGTTGGAAGGCATCTTAAAGCCCATCCCGTTCCACCCCGTGCCATGGCCAGGGACACCTTCCACTATCCCACATCGCTCCAAGCCCTGTCCAATCTGGACACGGACACATCCAGGGGTGAGGCAGCCACAGCTTCTCTGGACAACTTGTGTCAGAGCCTCACCATCCTCACAGGGAAAAATTTCTTCCCAATATCCTGTCTAATCCTTTCCTCTAGCAGCTTAAAGCCACTGCCCTTGTGCCAACACCTCCGGTTCTCGAAAATAGTCTCCCTCCTAGACAGAGATAAGATACATCCCTTCAAATACCTCACCTGGACCATGCAGGTGTGTGAGTGCCACAACCTCTGCCAGGCTGCCAGCCACTGACCTGAGATAAGGGCTTCTTCTTCTCTCCACAGTGAATGCCTCCAATGAAAACCATGTTGGGCATGACAGGCATGGGATACTCAAAGACAAAGTCGATTCTCCTCAGCCAGATGGATCCGTGACTTAAAATCTCCGTCATTGTCATGGGTTTTTGGAGGAACTCTGAGGCCAGCTCCTCAAACTGAGAATAGGCAATATTGCAGATGAAGGACTCGGAAAGGGCAATCAGGAAGTTCTTGACCCTCTGGGAGAAGGTCATGTGGTCGGTGTTTTCTGAGAACCCCCGTGGGACGTAGGACGGCGGGTCCGGGCCCTGAGCTGCGCGAACCTCCAAGGCACACGGAACCATCCGCAGGAAGAAAACACTGGGGATGGAGAAGTGCAGGGCAATGATCTGCCCACAGGGTGTCACGGGATCTGTGAGCAGGGCATCAAAGTGACCCTCTCCAATGTACTTCAGCAGCTCTTGGTTGTGCAACAACGACTTGCACAAAGAATGAAAAAGGGCTCCGCTCTTCCGGTAATCTTCCAAACGCTTCGAGAACCTCACCAGGAAAGGCTCTTGGCTGAAAAGTCTTGCACTGAAGGACCGTAACTGTTCTTCCATGTCTTCCTTTGTTAATAGCACTGGGTAGGTTTTCAGTTTGTAGACATCCGACAAATCGATCAGGATTTTGTTGTCTGGTGCGATGACCACGATTTGGTGCCCTCTCTTGCTCAGCTCCATCAGCACTTTTTTCATGCTGAGCCAGTGGCTGCCATCCATGGGGATCACCAGCAGCTTCCCAGTGGCAGCCAGGCTCAGGAGGCACAGGAAGGGCAGAAGCAGTGCCACCAGCATGGTGTGAGCCGTGCAGAGTGGAAGCCTGGCAGCAGAGAGGCCAGGAGTGCTCGGCCAGCTTTGCAGCCATGCTCCACCCCTGCCCTTCTGAGTCTCCTCCCATTTCAGGTCATCAGATCTTTGCACCAAGGTCACAGAAAGCAATCAATGATTAGGGAGGGTTCAAGGCAAGTTGGGACTTCAAAGGTTGAGTTGTGAGAGTCAAGAAAAGTGCGTCACTTTCACACACGCCAAGCTGAGGTGATTGGTTCCATGCCACCTTCTTCCCTCAGCAGGACCCCAGCTTTGTAGCACTTCCTGCCACCAGCCCACCATGCCCAAGGTCCCTGGTGTTACATTTTAGTTAAATGGTATGCCCCGTCTAACCCCTCAAAAATGTGCGGTTTATTCAAAGTATCATGGATCTGTAATCCCATTGGCCCAAGTCTTATTCTGTGCCCGCTTTCAATCTCCCTGTTAAACTGTGCGAGGGAGACTACAGATGCTCTCTTGGCCCTTTTCTCCCCAGGCTCTCCCTCTCTCTCCCTCCCTCCTCCTTCCCCCTTCTACCTCAGGAACCTTCCTGCTCCCTGGGATGCGACCCCCAATAAACCCTCATCTAATGAGCACCCTCAGAAGCCGTGTGGAGTCTCCTTGCCTGCCTGCTCCTGCCAGCAAACCTACAGCTTAGGGGGCCTCGGGGAACTCCCTGGGGATTCCCCTAAACGAACTACAACAATGCCTCCCAATGCGCGGCTCAACCACTGACAACCCTAAGAAGAAAATGGACCTCCATGGCCCCGCCGGCACAGCGCAGAACCCCGCGGAACACTGCTTCAGCACCGCCTCTGGCACAGCGCGGTGCCCGTGCGGGGCCGCAGTCGCGGCTCGGGGCGGCCCCTTCACCACCAGCCGAGCGGCCCGGCCCTGGCCCCAGCCCCGGCCCCCGCACCACCGCACAGAGGCCCCCCGAGTCACCGCGCCGCCATCCCAGCATCGCAGCTTTTACAATCGCCGCCGGCAGCTGCCGGCTCCCCCGCACCACGTGGCCGTCGTGTGGCTCCTCGGAGCCGTCACTGCTCCCCGGGGAGCCGCCGCCGTGGCGGCAGAGCCGAGCCCGCCGCCCGCGGCCCGGAGGCGGCAGGGGAGGGCCCTGCAGAGCCGGCGGGCAGTGCCGATCACCGAGCCCGACCCTGGACCACAACAGCGGCCAAAGAAGGAACCAAGGCCCACCAGTGTCCGCGGGGGAGCCACCAGACGACCAAAAAGTAGTTTTCAGCTTTGCCCGAGCCCCGCACCCCCAAAACTGTTCTCGTCAGTTGTGTGACCTCTTTCCTCAGTCTTACCCTCTCCTCCACTCGGTGCTCCTTCCCCCTAACTCCATCCCTAACCCGCCTTGCCCTAAACAAACCGCCGGGAGTCCACTCCGTCCTGCTGAGCCCGGCACAGCAGCCACACGGCTAAGCTTCAACACAGCTACCGCTGTGTGTGCTGTGGCCGCATGGCCTGGAGATCCAACAGAGCCGCGACCTCCAGCCACGCGGCACGGCACCATCTTCGCTTTCTCCTCCCCAAAATCCCTTTCTTCCCGCTTTTTCTCCCCCACGTTCCGCCCCTTCCCTGCCTCTCATGAACCAACCCCCCCCTCCAACTCCTAGTTCCCACCCTCTGCCTTCTAAATCCCACAAGGTAGGAGCTAGAATTGGAGAAGAAGCTTAGTAACCACAACCCAAGGTTAAAATAATTTTGTCATGCCAGTTTTAACAGCCTTGTATATTTCGTTGAATTGAAAATTCTACTTTATGATCTCCTTCCCCTGTTATTCCAAGAGCAGGATAATCCATCTCTGCAATCCATACCCCTTTTTTCCTTATTTTGGGTAGTTCACTGGGAGCAAACGACTCAAACGGGCAGGGTACCCCAAAAAGGTTTTTCTTTCACAGAGTCCACAACTCCCCATAACCTCCCCAATTCCCAATCCCTATCCACTTGTTCTAGCTGAAAAGAGCTCATCACCTAGAACTTTTATCCTAAAACCCTCGAACCTTTTTATCATTCTGATCCAATACCTGTCTTCTGTCCATTTCCTTCCTGTCTCCATGAAGTAGTTTTTACAATTGTGCTTTTCTAGTTAAAGTATGTGTTCATATTACAAATTGTCCTGTTTTCAGTTTTAGAAAGCAGAGGCCTGTCAGGTCACAAGGGTAGAACCAATGAGAAGCAGTTTTTGATTGTTTCTTTAAAAGTGAGTGTTCAGAGAGTATTGGACCGCTGAATCAAAATTGCTGTTGGGTTTATGCTGTCCTTAGTAGGTTCTGAGAGCAACTGATAACTTTAAATGGTGTCTGGGAAAGTATTTTGAGAGTTTTTGTGGTGAATGCTCCCTGAGTGGAGCTGAAGCAAAATTTATATTTTTCTTTTTATTTTCCTTTTAGCAACCTAAAACCAGGGGTCTTCTGGGTTAAACCAGTTGGAAGGTTAAAGCAGCAGTAAATCTCAGATCCAAGGATGAGAATCTGAGGCCATAAACCTGCCTATTCCCTGTCCCTGAGAGCGGGAGCAGAAGTCGGCGCCTCAGCCTAAAACTGCAGGCTGTCGTGGTCTGAAAAGCCAGTTGGAAAAAGTTAGACACCATTGGGCCAGTCATGCTGAAAAGGCCAATCCCAAAACTCTTATATGAGCTTAGTGCCAAAGGCTGAAGCCCTTTAAGCACTTACCCATGCTTTAAATTTCTTTAAAATCTGCGATATGGACCCACATAACCCATTTATTACAATTAAATGCTCATTTTATCTTTGCTGCCTACCACCAAAAGCAAACGTCAAGTCAATTAGCCTGTTAACATATAATTCTCACTTGTAATTGCATTTATTTTTATGCTGTGAAACTGTGCAATTACTGCTTCATTTTTTAAATTGTTAATTGTCATATTTCCCTTTACCTTTTCTTTCTAACGAAAAAAGGGTGAATAGTGGAGTTACATTTTATTTTAATGGCATGCTCAGTCTCACCCCTCGAAAATGTGCGGTTTATTCCAAGACTGTGATCCTCCCATGAAGTATGATGTAGGTGTAATCCCACACGCCCAAGTCTTATTCTGCACCCATTTTGAATCTCCCCATTAAACTCTGGGGGGTGATGACAAACTCTCTTGGCCCCTTTCCCCCTAGGCTATCCCCATCTCCCCTTTCTCCATCAGACACCATGCTGCTCCCGGGGCTGGGACCCCCAATAAACCCTCATCTAATGAGCACCTTCAGAAGCCGTGTCGAGTCTCCTTGCCTGCCTGCGAAAGTACAAGCTTAGAGGGCCCCCAGGGACTCCCCGGGGATCCCCCAAACCAACTGCTACACTTAATGCAAACTTGCATTTTTTTAGAAGATAAGCAGCCAGCAGAAAATCTTTCCCCATCTATCCATAGAAATTTCAGAAAACCACTTATACTATATGGTGTAAAACGAAGTTGCAAAAGAGCATTTCACCCTTGTACCCCAGATAACAAAGACCAACAACACCTCTGGAGTGCACAAACTCAGGAATCGCTCACGGCCACTGAGGGGTCAGTTCATGACCAGCGTTGGGGCAGCTCATGACCTCAACCCTGTGTCCAAGTCCTTCTTGGTTATAAATTGCTAGGGTTTAATGCTGGTGATAAACTCTCCTTAAAGCCTATAAGAAGGTGAATATGAGAAAAAATTTCCTTCTCCAGGGCAATCTGGGCTTGAAAATCCTGCTGGATTTATTTTTTCCCATGCAGTTTCTGCAGGTTTCTTTCCAAGCCTGGTGGGAAATCTTGGACTATGCTGAGAACCTGCCCTCCAAAAGGAACAGCAGCTCCATCACCCACGCTGATCCCATCTTGGTCGTTTAGAGCATGGATTAACTTAATGGGCATTTTCAAACAGCTCAGAGCAAGGAGATGCACAGAAGACAGGCCATAACCTCAGACAAGGCTGCCAAATGAACACGGGAAGGTTGATCCACAAAAGCCCAAACTGAAAGTTACAGGAGATATCCATACCCAGGACAGCTTAAAACCTCATTCAATCATCTAGAAGAGAAGGAAAGGATGGAACTGGAGGAGGATTTCTTTTGGGGCTTAAATATTGACACCTTGACAATACAGGCACATAGAAAGGAATTAATCGAGGGGATGGCTGAGGTGGAAAATAGGCAAACTCTCCATTCCTATAACCTTCACTGTGGATGAAAAGAGAGGGGAGAAATGGACAGCGCACAAGACAGCTGGGAGAGGAGGACAGCAAAGTTCTTCAGGTCAACAAAACCAACTCTCATTTGCATAAAAGCTACATGTCACTTAAATTGTCCTAATTAAGTCTGATAAGGTTTGAGGTCTGGCAGGATGTGATATAATCTGAATGCTGGGTATTAGGAAATAACATTTCTGCACCATGCAGGATTTCAGTCTTTGAACACCGAGCTGTTGTCAGTCAGTGTTCGATGTAGGGATGGGAGTGACATCCCTTGCCCAGGGTGGCAGCGGGATGGAATGAGATAATCTTTAAGGTCCCTTTCAACCCAAACCATTCTGCCATTCTATGATACATTTATACTTTGCATTTTTCCATATAAAAAAAAGAGAAAATTTTGTACCTGAGACAGTTTTTTCTTCTGAACACAGTTAATGCCTCCAATAAAAGCCATGTTTGGCATCACTGGCCTCGGGAACTCAAAGACAAAATCATATCTCATCAGCCAGAAGGATCCACGGCTCAGGAGTTCGGTCACTGTCACTTTCTTTTTCAAAACCTCATATGCAAGCTCTTCAAAATTATCATAAATGGGCTTACAGTAGAAGAGCTCCAGCAGATCGACCAGCATGTTCTTCACCCGCTGGGAAAAGGTCATGCTGTCTGAATTATCCAAGAATAACCTGGGGACATAGGAAGGAGGGCTTGGGCACTGGGTAGCAGCAGCATCCATTCCACAGGGAAAGCCCCGCAGGAAGTAGACGGAAGGAAGGGCAAGATACTCAGCCACCAGGGGCCCACACATCAGGATGGGATCTGTGAAAATCAAGTCGAATTTGCTCGCTTGCAGGTACTGCATCAGCTCCTCGTTCTGCAGAAGGCTCTTACAGTTGGTGAAGAAGACCGAGGAGATTTCTATCGTGCTTTGATACGAGGTCAGAACAACATTCCAAACAGACTGTTCAAGAAAATGGGCATGAACAAAGGCCTTGAGCATTTCCCCCAAGTATTCCTCTGTGTAAGGGATTGGATAGGCTTGCACTGTGTAATTCTGATGCTCCTCTGACTTCATGTACAGACTGGTGGAGGGTACAAGCACAACAATCTCGTGTCCCTTTTGCTGCAGTTTCTCCACTACTGGGCGCATGCTGAGCCAGTGACTTCCATCCTGAGGTACCACCAGGATCTTTCCACCTTCAGCCAGGATTAAAGACAGCGTCAGGAGGAGAAGTATCCAGGTGCCTTGGTAAAAAAGAGCCATTTTGGTGGGAGTGATCCAGAGGGTTCTGCTCTGCCGGGACCCACGCACTCCTTTATATGATGGTACATGCAGAGCAAGCAGGGAATTTATTGCCTGCAGAAATTAATATTTAACTTCACAATACGGGTGTGATTAGCCTGTGATTTTCCCTGTGTTTGTGGAAGGGAAAGGAAGCCGTGTCCTTACAGAAACATTTGTACTTTCTGTTAATGTTTAAACTTCAAACTCTGTCAGCACTAAGACACTGTGCGCACTAAGTCTGTGACACGAACAGCAGGGATGTCCTGTTGCAAAAATATTAATGGTTAAAGCCATTGACCTGGTAAATACATGGCAAGAAAATAAAAATACACCCAGCACAACGGATGCAACTCCATTCCTGGGGAGACAAGGCTGATGTTGATTTGATGGCCTCTGGAAGCAGCACAACCTGCACCTCTTACAAGGATGTCACGGCAACCAGGATGTACCAGGCAATCCCAAATCTGAGCAGAACCATCCCCATTGGCTTTTTTCCTCCTGACTCTACACAGAAAAGTGAACTAATGGATGGGTTCAGGCAAACAAAGGGAAAGGAGTCTAGCACAGGGACACAAAGAAGGAGTTTTGGTCTTTGGTTGCTGTCTTGAAAACCCTTGTCATGCATTGTGAGCAAGACAAAATCGAGAAGAAGCTGTGACACCTCCCACTAATGCCAGTGCAGGAATGTTTTCTCTTTGTGCAAGTGAAAGCAAAGCCAGAGTAAAACCTTTGTAGGGTGCTAAGGAAGGAGTCCTTGTGATGAGAAGCTGCCATCAGTATATTGTTTTCCTGCGCTATTTATAAATGTCGCTGGGACTCCCAGCATCCTCAGTCAGGAGAAGGAAATCCTTACAGCCTGAGGCAAAGCCATTTGTCTCATGACACCCAAAGGATGCTGTGACTTAGTAGCTGAGTGTCTCATGACACCCAAAGGGTGCTGCCCTGAGTAGCTCCACACTGTCACTCTGGACATGGAGGAATCGCCCTTAGGCATGGAAAACCAATTTCTGGAGAGGCTCAGCACAGGAGAGGTGGGAGACGGCACAGATTGAAAGCAGGACACTGAAGGGATTTACAAAGAATTGTCATTAATTGCCAGAAATCTGGTTGCAAATATTTCATTGCAGCTGCTGTGTCAAGAGCTCATCAAATTAACTTGGAAGTTGCTGCTTGGTGTTTTTTTGAGTCTGGACTCGATTGGATTTTCTATTGCAAGAGCAGTTGGCTGGAAAGGACTAATACACGATTTTTCCTGGTGTGGAACATGTGATTTTCACCTAACAGGAGTCTGAAGACAGGTACTGGCAGGGATACAATGAGGGCAGGATGTCTCTACACCTGTAGCAAAGTTATGAACTCTTTGCAGCTCTGAGACCTTCACGTATAAAAGTAAAGACTTATATTGTGGATTCAGCAAGAATTTGCCTCTTAAATCTCAAAGCATCACCTACTTTCCTGAGCCCTGAGTTGATAGAATGTCTTAGATATAATTTTATCCTAATATTATAGTTAAGAGTATTATTCTTTGCCTTGTTTATCAAGTTTAGAGGGCTCTCCATTAGCCTGTCAAAAGAGCATCAAAGAAATCTGAAAATAAATGTGAAAGAGGAAAGAAAAATACCACCCCTCCACCTCAAAGACATTGTGCAGAGATATTGTGTGACCACAATTCAGAAGTGAGGGAGCAATTTCCTAGGAAAGTGATTTGTGTCCTGCTTTGTGCCTGGAATAAATGTCCAGTATTACCATTTTAGAGATTCCATGTTGACTACCACAATAGATTTAGATTTCTAGATGAGCTTTAAGACCCTGCAGAACAATTCTAGCAAAAGCAAATGTCAAGGAGGGTGTACGAAAAGTTATCTGAGTTCTGCATTGAAATGTTTTTCACCCAGTCCATGACTGTAAGATTATTTCTTGCCATTTCAACGTGACATTTATATTTCAGCCCCACAAACAGGAGTAACCTAACACAGACAGCCAGTTTGGAAATGATTTGTCATGAAAATACAACTCAAGTGAATCAACTGATGCTGCTGAGCCTGGTGTTAAAAATAAAAGATGACTCTTGGGTTTCTGATCAGATAAAAGAAATAGATGTCAGAGGCCATTCAAATGAAATCAAAACTGGATCTCGTTGGTGGTTAAGATACATTCACTGAGGACAGTAATTTCCACCTGACAGGTGAAATCCCCTTTTTGTTTGGTTTGTTACAAAACCTTATTTAGTTCAAGTAAGTCTCTATCAAGGTTGTTTGATTTCAGCCTGTGACAAACAGCTACCCAAACCTGGATGAATAAAAATCATTGCCAGAAAATTTAGAAAATAACAAACAATAGCGATTATCTTGCTGGAGCAACAGAATGAATTTTCAATGGGAAATGTACAATTTTAGGCAAAGGAACATTACCTTAGGCAGTGGTTTCTTCTTCGCACAGTTGATCCCCCCTACAAAGACCATGTTGGGCATCACTGGCCTGACGTATTCAAACACAAAGTCAAACCTCAGGATCCAAATGGCAGCGGAGTTCACCAGGTCCATCAGGGACACATCCCTCTGAAGAACTTCTGAGGAAAGCTTAAGCGCTTCTCCATAGAAACCGTTGCAGTAATCAAGCTCCAGGAGGGAAATCAGGGCATTTTCCACCCTCTGGAAAAAAGTCATGCGGTCCGAGTTGAAGCTGAAGAGTCTCGGGACGTAGGACAGAGGGCTTGGGCTCTGTGGGGCTGAAAAGTGCAGGTTGCAACCAAATCCCCTCATGAAGAAGACAAAGGGAAGAGAAAGATAGTGGGCCAGGATGGCCCCACACATGAAGGCCGGATCCGTCAGAATGGCATCAAAGCCGCTTTGGTTGAGGAACCTCAGGGTCTCCTGGCTGTGGAACAGGTCTTTGCACTGCCCAAAGAAGGTGCTGAAAACATGCACTGAGGCGTTGTACATGGCCAGGGCATTGAGGGGGAACGGATTCGGTGTCAGGTGCACGGCGAGGTATTCCTGGAAGGAGTTATCCAGCTCTTCCAGGGTCTGGCTCACTGGGTACGTGACCACCTTGTAGGCCTGCGTGGTCTCCATTTGCCAGCTCACCTCAGGAACCAGCACCACCACCTCGTGTCCTCTCTCGCTCAGCTTCTCCACCACTTCCTGCATGCTCAGCCAGTGGCTTCCCACCATGGGCACCACCAGGAGCTTCCCTCCATCCGAGAGGCCAGGCAGGAGGAGGAGGATGGGAATCCAGGCACAGCAAAGCCTCAAAGCCATGTTGCAGTGGCGCAGTAGGGGCCGTGGAAGATTTCTCCTGCAGGCTGTAGCCTGAAGATGATTTGGAAAGCAACTGATGGGTGAATTTGTTGCACTCTGCCCTATTGATGTTCCCTTTGTTAATCATTCACTACTTTGCATTGTGGGTAGTTTATTTTGCCTTTTCCCTCCTTACTTGGAAAGGCAAGATTTGGTGACCTCTTCAATGCTGAGTCACTGGAGTTCCTCGATATTCCATGAGGTCCTCAACGTGCTACAGGGATCCCTCAGGACTCCTCACCTTTGTTGTGCCTTGTGTCCCACCTTGGCCCGGACCCAGGGTGGCAACCTTGGTGTGAGCAACCCCCAAGCCCACAGGAACAAATGAGAAAGAGCCTCTCCAAGATGGAGACATCGATCCTCAGGTGATTCCTCCAGGGATGGAGCAGGAGACCCTCAGGAGAAGGCTCAGGGCTCTTCTGAGCTGGCAGGAATCTCCTCAGTGCCAGGGACACCTCTAAGAGGTGCTGACAGGGGCTGGCCTCTCTCTGTACAGACCAAGCTCTCACTTTACAGAGTTCTTTCCCAGCCTGGCAGGTGGCCCCTGACTGGCTGGAAACTCCTCCCCACCAGGATTCAGACCAGCACTAAATGAGTTTTAGCAACTTCTGGAGGTTTAGGTTTCATACCTGACTTAGCAAAGGAATAGGTTCAGCACAGACATGATTTCCCCGGCCTCACAATATTGCCACTGATGGCAAAATTAAAAATATTGCATCCCTGGATATTCAGAGGCACGCAGCCTCCATGCCTCAGGCACACAAGTTCTCTCCTCTCCCTTCATGCCATGGTCAATGCACCACAATATACTGCATGGCCTCCGGCTTTTCCAGGGAAGGTTCAGTGTGGATATTTTTGTTTGTCTGTTATTTTATAATTTGTTCTTCTGTAGTAGTTTTTAAATAATCCTTGCTATATGTTTGTAATGGTTAATTCCATGTAACCTATTTGGCTTCCCTGATGTTTCAGTCCTGAGTTGTTTACCCCAAGATTTTCCTGCCAAGTGCATGTCAATCCCCCTGTCTATCAAAGATAGCACATCCTTTTTGTTCTGGAATGTTCCCTGTCCTTCATCCCTTCCTGAAAGCAAGATTGGATTGTAAGGTTGGCTCTTTCCCCTTGTTGACATTACCCATGAAGGTAATGCTTTCCTATTGGTAAAACGTTGTGCCCTCCCCTTATTCCCTCTCCTCCTCTTAAGCAGCTTTTTTCCCTCAGTTATTGTCACTTTTCCCTGACTCCTCTGTGGACATAAACCTTCCTGGAACTCATACAAGTGATCCCTCTGTATTCCTTCACCTCAGTCCCTTGTATTGGGTTGCTGCTGTGTCACCTGCATTCAGCAGCCTAAGGTAGGAAATGCTGGGTCATGATGACTGGACCTGAGAAGGCTCTCTCCCACCTCCAGACCCTTGCTTATCTCTCTGGAAGACTATAGGCCACTTTCCTTTCACCCTTGCTATTGGACAATTCCTAAAACTCCTGTACCCTATAGAAAGGGCTACTTTTGCCCATCTCGCAGAAGAGCTGTCCCTGAGAACCTTGGCAGAAGATTCAATAAGGACATCCCTGTGGAACCTCACACAGCCTTCTCCTCTCTCTCCCTGCGTCTGCTGAAGGCACCTAGCAAGCAAAGAGCTGAAATCACAAAATGAGGTGTTAATCACTAGATATCACTTAAGCTTGCTACGATTGCTGTTGGGGAAGACGAAATAGGAGAGCCTTATAAATATGATTGTCTGGCAAAAGATTTTGAGAATATAGAAACTATAAGCGAGATTGAAATGAAAGTAAGCTTTGAGATGCTTTAGTTACTGAACATCAATAGTGTGGCCAGCTGAAAGTAATCCCCTTTTGATGAAACAATACCCTCTGCTTGCAGACAAATCCAAGGGTCAGAGCAGACCCTACTAGCTTGGCAGAAGGGGTCCAAAGAGTAGTTTTTAGGGTTTAAAATGTAACACAGTATGGTAATGAAATGATTCTTATAGGCTGTATGTAAATGCTATAGGATTTGTATATTGTACTAGATTGGTTAGTGAGAAATAGAATATTCAACACCGAAGATTTATTGTATTGTAACAGAAACCTCGCTCTCTTACACGTCTGCTGTCTTGCGCTTTTGCTCTCTTCCGCTTTTACTCTCTTACCCTTTTACGCTCTTACCCCCTCATCCTCTCTACCCCTCTCTTCTCTCAGGCCTGCTCCGAGCTGTGGCTGGCAGCTCCCAGCAGGGCCCTGCACCCAGGCCCTTTGCAAATAAACCACAAGTTCCTGACCTGGCTTCAGAAATCTCTCTGTCTGTCCTGACCGTCCTACCCCCTGATGCTCCTACAGGTTGCCTGCAGCTAAGAACTGCTTGGGAGCTCAGACAGGTGGACAGGCTGTGCCGAGCAGGACTGAGCTATCCGGATCCATTGCATCCTGCTGGGGAAACCCCAAAACCCGGACGGAGGTCGCATTAGGGGATGGCTTCTCTTGTGACAGCCCATCAGTCTCAGGGAGTGAGCTGGCCACAGAACACATTCCCTGTGAGTGCAGCCTGCAGTTACAGGTATTAGGAAAGAAAAAACCCACTGGAGGAATGGTGCAATGGAATAATTTGACCAGGGAGGTGGTGGAGTCGCCATCTCTGAAGTGTCCTGGAGGAGCCTGGATGTGGCACTTGGGGTCGTGGCTTAGGGGTGACCATGGCAGTGCTGGCGTGAGGCTGGGACTGGGTGATCCTGGAGGTTGTTTCCAAGCTGGATGATTCTGTCAGCTGCAGGCTGGCCCATGCCAGGCTCAGGAATGATTAGGGAATACTCAGGAGGGAATTCTTAGGGTAGCTACAACATGCCAGCCAAGCCTGGAATAAATCTGTGACTGGAGTTCCCAAACTACCTCTTATAAATCTGTGAAAAGAGATCCCCAAGCCCCTCCAATAAATCCGTGGCTGGAGATGTCCAATTCCTCTAATGAGTCCAGTCTGAGATGCCAGAACTGCTCTAATAAATTTATGAAAGGAGATCCCAAATCCCTCTAATAAATTCATGACAATAGATCCCCAAGCCCCTCTAATGCATCCATGACAGGCGATCCCCAAGTCCCTGTCATAAATCCATGATTGGAGACCCCAAAATTCTTTAATAAATTCATGGCAGGAGATCCTAAACCCACCTAGTATATCCATGAAAATAGAACACCAAACCCTTCTATCAAATCCAGAAAGAGATCACCAAACCCCTCTAAGAAACCCTTGTATAGGGAGCCCCAAACCTCTCTAATAAATCTGTGCCGGGAGATCCCAAAACATTTGCAGTAAAAGCACGGCAGGATATCCCAAATCCCTGTGATAAATGCATGACAGTAAACAGCAGTTTGAAAGAGGGAGCTGGTCTTTGTAGAATGCCAGGTTGGTTTGTGTTGGAAGGGACCTTAAAGCCCATCCTGCTCCACTCTGTGGCATTGGTAGGGACACTTTCCACTATCCCACATCGCTCCAAGCCCTTATCGAGTGTGTCCTGGAACACTTCCAGGGATGGAGGTCCCACAGGCTGCCATGACGGCCCCTGCCCTCACGGCGGTGAAACTACAACTCCCGGCATGCCCCGCGCCGCCCCGCCTTCCCCGCGGGCCGCCGGTCCCGGCGTGCTTTGCGCCGCGCCACACAACAAATATGGCGGCGGCCGCGGGCCCGTGGCCGTAGGGCCGGGCTGGGCGCGGTGAGTGGCGGCTCTGAGGGACCGGGGGACACTGGCACGGGGAGACCGCCGGGCTCGGGGGGCTCCTGGCTTGGCTTCATGAGATGGGTTTATTAGGGGGATTTGGGGTCTCCTGTCACAGATTTATTAGAGGGTTTGGCATCCTCTGCTATGGGTCTTTTAGAGGGATTTGGGATCTCCTGCCTTGGGTTTATTAGAGAGGTTTGGGAACTCCTGCCTTGAGTTTGTTAGAGAGGTTTGGGAGCTCCTGGCATGGGTTTATTGAAAGGGTTTGGGAACTCTTGCCGTGGGTTTATAAGAGGGATTTGGCGTCCTCTGTCACAGATTTTTAGAGGGGTTTGGGATCTCTTGCCATGGGTTTGTTGAAAGGGTTTGGGGTCTCCTGTCACAGATTTATTAGAGGAGTTTGGGCTCTCCTGCCATGGAAGTATTAGGGAGATTTGGGGTCTCTTGTCACAGACTTATTAGAGGGTTTGACATCCCCTGCCATGAGTTTATTAGAGAGGTTTGGGCTTTCCTGTCTTGGGTTTATTAGAGAGTTTTGGGAACTCCTGCAACGGTTTTATAAGGGGGATTTGGGATCGCCCCTCAGATTTATTAGAGGGGTTTGGGATCTCCTGCCATGGATGTATTAAGGGGATTTGGGGTCTCTTGTCACAGATTTGTTTGAGAGCTTTGGGATCTCCTGGCATGGGTTTATTGGAGGGTTTTGGGAACTCCTGCCGTGAGTTTATATGGGGGATTTGGGATCGCCTCTCAGATTTATTAGAGGGGTTTGGGATCTCCTCCCATGGCTTCATTAGAGGGGTTTGGGGTCTCCTGCCATGGATATATTAGGGGGGTTTGGGGTCTCCTGTCACAGATTTATTAAAGGGTTTGGCATCCCCTGCTGTGGGTTTATTAGAGAGGTTTGGGATCTCCTGCCTTGGGTTTATTAGAGTTTTGGGAACTCCTGGCATGGGTTTATAAGGGGGATTTGGGTTCTCCTGTCATATTTATTAGAGGGGTTTGGGATCTCTTGCCATGGGTTTATTGAAAGGTTTTGGGGTCTCCTGTCACAGATTTGTTGGAGGCATTTGGGATCTCCTGCCATGGATGTATTAAAAGGTTTTGGGATCTCCTGCCATGGGTTTACTGGAGGGTTTTGGGATCTCATGCCATGGGTTTATGAGGGAGATTTGGGATCTCCTGTCACGGGTTTTTACAGGGATTTGGGATCTCCTGCCATGGATTTATTAGAAGGTTTTGAGAACTCCT